CAACCAGAGTGACCTTTAGAATCCAGCCCAGAGGGAGTTGAGGTGAAGACTCCTGTGGCAGTCATGTCGTATGTGGACACGCCTTTGGGTAGACCAATGTTATGTAGAAACTCAGCCACTTTCCCCAGAGACTGAAGTGAAACAGGGAAGAAAAGCTTGCTCCTGAGATTGAGGGGGTGAGGGTTGTTTATTATTGACATGTCTTTGAAGTAAATATACTTTTGTTAAAAATAAATTGAAGCAAAGTGGTTCAGTGCGACTAGGATTCTAGTTACTGGCACCTAATGGTTAGGGGAACACAGCTAGTGAAGGCTTAAGCCAATGACAATAGAGAAGACAACCTCTAACCCCCTGAGCGTACCGAAGGAAACCCCAGAAGTTGCCTTCCTGGCTCTGAACTAGAGAGCCAGAGCACACTCACTCCACCAGGGTACCAAAGGGGCTCCATAGAAAAGAGCATAAGGGAACCATTAAATGAGGTAATGAGCCACATTCCCCATAGCATACAAAGAGACTCTCATTTGCTAACTGTGTGACCTTGGGAAATTAATTTCATCTCTCTTGCTCTTAGTACTCTCATTTGTGAGCGGAGTGTTTGGAAAAAGCTGCTTTCCAGTTTCCTTTGTGTTCTCATTGTGTGAAACAGTCCCATACAGGGGAGGGCGAGGACCCATGCACATGGAGACAAGGGACATTAACCCTGTCTTGCAGCTGTCACACTGGAGGAAAAAGACTCATCAAAGCATCCTAGAAGAGTAAATCCCTCCCTGAGGACTTAAGCAAGAATGACTAAGACCGGGGCTGACTTCAGCCTGGACAAAAAAGAGTCCAGCATGCTTCTTACAAATAAATACTCTTCAAAGATGAGATTTTATGAAGTTATTCATTTTGCTCTCCAAAAATCAACAACTCTTGTGGATAATTTATCATTACAGTGATTGTTGTTCTTATCCTTGCTAATTAAAGAAATACGTTTGCTTTACTGTCCTATTATTGGCCCAATGATCTCCAAGCATTTAATTTAGAAACTTTTTTTCTTCCTTTGAAGCACTTTCAGATTGAGGATTTGCACTTGCCCATAGTCTTTTGGCAACTTCCTTTACCTCTGCCTTTAATCTTAACCAGTCATTTTCTCTCACACATTGTCCCCTCAATTGCTAATCACCTCTTCTCTGTCTCTACCTTTTTTTCTCTGTTTCTATGTCTCTGTCTTTCCCTGTCTCTGACGCTCTGTCTCTCTTTGCCTTTCTCTCTGTCTTTTTCTCTGATTTTCTCTGCTTTTTTCTCTGTGTCTGTCTTTCCCTGCCTCTTTCTATCTCTGACACTGTCTCTGACTCTGTCTCTCTGCTTTTCTTTCTGTTTCGGTTTCTCTCTGTGTGTCTCTGTCTGTCTCTCCCTACCTACAGGTCAGTCAATAAGCATTTGATAAGCATTAACAAATGGGCTCAGTGCTATGCTCAGCTCTGGGGGATACAAAGAAAGGTGAAAAATAGCCGTTGCCTTCAAGGAACTAACATTGGAATGGGGAAGATGACATGCAGATAGAGTATATGTGAGAAACATACAGGGAAAATTGGGAGTCATCTCAGTGGGACCACAGTGGAGTTGAAGATGGAGGGGAAAGCCCCCTGCCAAAGAGGGGCTTTGAGTCGCGTCTGGAAGAAGCTGGGGAAGCCAATGGGGGAGGAGAAGGAGGTTACATTCTCATGACACATCCAAGGGCTCTCCTTCCTTAAAAATATCGGAACGAGAGTCCACTGCTATGCTCTTGGAAAGAAGCTGGTCCCATCTGCCGTCTCCCCTTCCTCTCTTCACTCAGGTCTCAGCCCTTTGCAATCAGGCTTTCTACCTTATTGCTCAACTGAAACTGCTCTTGTGTTGTTGTGTGTGGCCTTTCATTCATTTTCAGGGTTTGGGGGCTTTTCCCCGAGAATCCTACCATTGCTGGAAGCGTAGAGCTTCCGCAGCAGCCCATTCTAATTCTCACAGGCATAGGAACTTTGGTTTGCTTTGTTCCTGACCTGCTTCTCCTCATCCCTTCTTAAGTAACCTGGTGGCCTCCCACCCTTGGCCGTAGTTAGATTGACCTTAGGGTTAGGGTCAATGCCAGACTTAATGAGCTCACCTCACTGGTCTTGTCCCTAACAGATTAGAACTCCTGAGCACAAGAGAACAGACAGGTAGGAAGAGAACCAGGGACAGTGGTGTCTTGAAAGTCAATGTAGAAGAGATGAAGGAAAGGGTGACCAACAGTGTTGAAGGTAGCAGAGAGGTAGAGGAAAATGAGGATAGAGAAAAGGTCATTGGATTTGGCAACTAAGAGAACTCCATTCATGGAGGAGATAGTCAAGGGGTTGGGCCATATCAATCATTTTCATCAGTGGTCCTGAGGAAAAATGCTGAATATGGGTGCAAGGTAAAACAATCTGGCTGGCTCCTCCCAGAAGCAGCTGTTCCCCAATTACCTATTCATTTCCCTAATTACCTAATCAGTGAAATCAAATCAATCAATGTTAATTTCAACTTTAATAAACATTCTTCAGTTTACATATATGATCCTATCTCTCAGATCATAAATAACAGGGTGATGTGTTTGAACTTTGGGAGGGTAGTTTAGAAGGGAAAAAATAACATTTAATTAATGAGCCTGTCAATGTCTGAATCGTTACAAATGACAGTCAGCAATTTTCCAGCTATATTTTAAAAAAAGCTAATTGGAAATATACATTTTTTAAACAAAATTTATACCATCTATATAATCGATGAATAAGGAAGATCTAAGTATAGAGTCGAGTGGCATTTTGGCACAGTGGAAAGAGAGCCAGCTAGGTCAAGAAGAGCTGTTTTCAAGTCATTTCTCTTCCACATCCTGGCAGCTTGGACCTAAGAAAGTCACCTTGAGGGCCCATAGACTGGGAGACTCCAAGTTATAGAAGAGTTGTAGGGTCTGTATCAGGTAAGGAGATTGAGTCCTAGAGAGCTTAGGGATGTGCCCAAGGCCACCGCTGAACCCTAGACCTTCCCTGTCCAGTGCTCTTTTCATGATCACATATTGCTTCTGATCACAGGCCTTCATGTGCAACACACACACACACATACAGACAGGCACAGACACACACCCATGCACATGCACATGCACACACACACACACACACACACACAAATCTCAGAGTGCTAGACCTAGAAAGGAAGGTCCTAAAAGGTCCCATGTTTCTTCTTTTGCTCTGCCCTCAAGTGTTTCAGAAAATAAGGATTAGCTTGGGCATATCCTGGATGTGAATTACTAAGAATGGGGAAAGTATTGTTTTTTTTTTTCTCCCAATTCTGTTATCTTGAATGTAGGAAGTCAATTAGCAAGACAGTGTTAAGCAGTGAATAAAAAACAAACACACAATGTTTTTTTTTAGAAATCCAAGGTCAAGATAACCTTAGAAATGGAGGCTAAAGTACAGAGAAGAGCTGGAAGAAGATAGATGCTCCTTCAAGGCTCTGAGAGAAGAAGAAAACACAGATGTAGAGAGTGCTCAGAAAGCCACAAGGCATCCTTGTGAGTTGGGAGAAAATGACTATTAAGGTCACGCTAAAGTTGGACTCCAACAATATGGTGAAAATGTGGAGATGTCTTACAAATACAAGAGACATTTATTAAATACCTATGATGTACAGAGCATTAGGCTAAGTACTGGGTGAGAGATAAAAAAGTTAGAGGAGTTATAATTGCCTATCTCATCAAGCTGGCAGGGGGTTCAGACGTTAACAAAGATAACTCAATTATGTTGTATTACAAAGAACATTACATTTCTTGTGCACACATGAATCTGTGTGTGTATTTTGAAGGAATGATTTTTCTAAAGATCTGGGGGTCTTCAGGGGGTGCAAAGTCCATAGGAGTCAACAGTGTTACAAGGCAGCCAGAGAAGCTGATGAGAGCTTAGTCTGTGTGAAGAAAGGTGGGAGAGTCTAGGAATGAGGACTTGGCCATCCCCTGCAGTTTGGCCTGGTCAGATAAGACTTGGAACACTGGAATCAGCCCCAGGTGCTATATTGTAGGAGGGACATTGAAAATCTGAAGCATGGCCAATGGAGAAGACACGGGGCGCTGGAGACCCTTATGTTCATGTCGCGTGGTGAAATTACTGAAGAAGTAAGAGAGGAGGAGCCTGCGTCCTCAGGGGGTACATGAGGGATGCCTTCAAGCATTGGAAAGACTGTGGAGGGGAGGGATTGCTCTTGTTCTGCTTGGCCCCAGAAGGCAGAACAATACATGATGGGGGGGCGGGGGAGTGGGGGGCATGAGGGATGGGGGCACACACAAAGAGACACATTTAACTGGATGTAAGGAACCACCTCCTAAGAATTAAGGTTGTCCCAATGTGGGAAGGTCTACCTTGGGAGATAATGGAGGTTTTGAAGGAGAGACTGGTCAGTCACTTGTCAGAAATAACCTTTGCATCCCACATCTGACCTCATCTGTCCCTTCTCCAATCCAGCCTCCACACAGAGACCAAAGGGATTTTACTAATCCTCATCCATGGCTCACTACTGAATAAACTCCAGTGGCTGCCTCTTACCCCTAGGAGCAATGACACATTTCTCCGTTTGTAGTTGGAACTCTTTCCTTCCTGGGATCTTCTTGATTCTCCAGTCTTCTTATACATTGGGCCCCTTCATATGGACTCCATTGTTCATGTTAGCTTGTATGCTATTGTGCACTGGGATGGCCTACCTTCTGTACCTTTTGATTGGGGTGTTCAAGGGAGATTGGTGCCTCTGGTGTCAGGTCTGTGGAGCCCTTCTCAGGGCTGCTCATCCACCTTGGCTGTCTATCTGATCCATGCAACCCTCACCTGTGGCTCCAAGAAGCTGTAGCATGCACAGCATCCACACCCCAGTAAAATCAGGTTAAACTAGGTTGAGGGTAACTGAGAGGTCTCATACCCATTGGTGAGTTGGGGGAGGGGTGATCCTACCCCAACCATGTGAAGACTTCTCCTGCAGAATAGGTAGATGAGAACAATTTGGTCCAAGGTCCAAGAAGGTGGCTGAAGCAGGCCCTGTGGAGCACTTAGAGACCCTAGAGTCATCCTCTGCACCCCGAACCATCACCAGTCATCTTGACTTTTTCTTGCCACTGGACTCCAATGACTCTGGAAGAGAGAGGGAGGCTGATGAGTTTGTACAGCTCTGCGTCACTTAAATCCAATTTATATATGAGTCAAAAGACATCACCTACACCAGTTTGCCATTTTAACCTACCTCAAAGTCCTGTGGCAACAGGCAAGTGGCAAAGCAGCAGGTGTGGACATGCTGGGAGCGGTAGTCACCACCCTGCACACCGATGGCCCAAGCCATAGGGTCTTCTCACTGGATGCAGCAGTAGGATCCAGCATGCCCCGGGTGTCTGAGCAGCCTTTTGGAAGGACTTCATCTCCTAGCATGAGGAAGGGGTTGAAAAGGTGCCCTAAAAATTGCCCCCTTCACCTACACCTGGTTTTAATAAATGAATAAAAAAAGTATTTTAAAGCACCTATTACATTCCAAATACTGTCCTGAGAACTGGGCATATAAATGCCCTCAAAGAGTTTACATTTTAGTAAGAGAAACAACTTACATAGAGGAGTGGTAGTCAGGGAGAGATGCTGGGTTAGATAGTTACAGCGATGATGAACGGGGCTAGCATGGAACAACAATCAATAAGAAGAAGATTTATATATTTCTTATATCAGGCACTATGCTAAGTAAATGCTTTACAATTAGTATCTCATTTGACCCTCACAACAAGCTCGGAGATACGTACTATTATTATCCCCATTTTTATTGTTGTGGAAACTAAGGTAGACAGAGTTTAAGTGACTTGTCCAGGGTCACATAGCTACTAAGTATCTGATACCAGCTTTTAATTCAGACCTTTTTGATTCTAGGTCTGATGCTCTATACATTTTGCTACAGTATACATACATACATACATACATATATACATGCATACATGCATATAGATAGATAGATAGATAGATAGGTGTAGTATGCAGTGTGCTAATTGGTACCTCCCAACCAGGAACAATTACAGATTGATTTTGATCATGGATAATGATCCAGGGGGTTCGGGGAGAGGTGAGAGGAGGGTACGTAGGTGGCCAAGTGGTTAGAGCACTGGGCTTGGAATCAGGAAAAATCTTCATGAGTTCAAATCCAGCCTCAGACACTTACTAGGTGTGTGACCCCGGGCAAGTCACTTAACCCTCTTTTCCTCAGTTTTCTCATCTATAAAATGAGCTGGAGAAGGAAATGGCAAACCAATCTGGTATCTTTGCCAAGAAAACCCCAAATGAGGTCACAAACAGTCAGACACGACTGAAACAACTCAACAGCAACAATGATCCAGGGCTGGATGGGTCCAGGAGAAGGGTACTTGTATTAGCGGGTCCATGGGCAACGCTATGGAAAAGCTACAGGGATAGTAGAGAGAAGTGAAGCATGGTGGCTGGGGATTGACTAGGCCAGAAGAAGCAGTCGAGATCAGGACACATTGAGGGGTTTAGGTTAGATGTAAAACAAAGAGCTTGGATGCCCAGCTCTAATCATCTCTGACTGTGTGAAGCGATCACGTGTCGGAGCTGTACATCGGTCAGAGATCTGGGAGCCCGTCTTAAAGGCTCTGCTTTTTAGACACCGCGTGACTTTGGTCAAGTCACGTCACCCTCTCTGAGCCTCACTTTGCTCATCTGTAAAATGAAGGGGGTGGGCCAGAGATGTTTGAGGTCCTTTCCAGCTCTAAATCAGCCTCTTGTGAGGGTTTGATTTTTTTTTAGAATCAGAAGGAGTCTTGGTGACCACCCTAAGCCACCTCCCACCCGAGCATGTTCCTCTACCATGTGCCTGCATTGGCCACCCTGTATCTGGGCTGAGTGACCCTGAATAAACATTGATTCTCTCTGAGTCTGAGCTTCCCCAACTGTCAATGTAGGTAGCAATGCCTGGAGTCTCTGCTTTACACGTTTCTGGTGGGAGCCCAATAGGATGATGGGTATAAAACGCTTCACCAGCCTCAAAGCCCTTGGAGTCTATGATCCTTTGAATTTCCCAGTGAGGCAATTGGGTGCTTGGATCCGATTCCCAGGGGAGATGGCAAAGTCTGTTTTGGGGTCCTGGGGATTGTGGGGGTGTCTTTGGAAAGAGAGTCTTTTATGTCCCCAGTAAAGCGCTTGCAGCCGTGTGAATCTCTGTCTTGATGGGGAAGTGTTCTGGGAACTGCTGCCCTCCCCCCGCCCCTGCCCCCGTCCCTGGGACTTGGGTAACTATTCTGTCATGCCATTATTGGGGAGGGCCAGGAGGGCCTCTGCCTTGCCAGATGTGTGAGAGGTCATTTCCAAACCCTGCGAGGAATTCCTCCAAAAGCTTTGAGATGTGGGTGAGCAGACATGTCTGCCCACCCTCAGCCCCCATAACCCTTCAGCCGGACCCTCCTTACCTTTCTCTGACTACCCTCTTCTCCTCCTCGCCCTGGATCCAAGGGCAGATCTAGGCCTGTCTCTCTGGGAGCTGTCTCTGTCCTGCTTTATATTCTCCCCTCGGGACCAACTAACCTTTGGAAATTCCTTCCCCACCGACTGGCACTTGACTGCGCTTCCTCATTTCTGTTAGGAAACCCTCAGGGGGTTCATCTTTCTGTCAGGAGAAGCTAAGGTTTCCACTGTCAGGACTCTCTTTTTTATTTCCCCCTCTTGCCTTCTAATAGTGTGTGGGTTGTTTTCCTTCTTCTACGACGGGTCGCTCCTCTTTTTTCTGCCCTCCAAAGGGAGAGAGGGAAGAGCAGGGAAGAAGAAAGGGAGGTGAGGGAATAGGATAGGCAATTCTATACTACAAGGGTAATTTGGTCCGGTGATTTACCCTCTCTAGGTCTCAGTCTCATCTGGAGAATGAGGACCAAGAACAGATGATCTCTCAGGCACTGTGGTATGGTGGAAAGAGCCCAGATCCTGGGTTCAAATCCCATCTCTGTCCCTTACTGGCTGTGTGATCTCAAGCAAGTTATATCACATCTCTGTGCCACGGTTTTCTCAATTGCAATGTATGCACACACACACAAAACAAACACAAATACACAAAAACACATGTATGTTATATATGAAATATATTATTGTTGTCTATTGTGTGTATATATTATACTATACTATACTATACTATACTATATTATATTATATTATATTATATTATATTATATTATATTATATTATATTATATTATATTAT